ATAAATAAAAATAGTAAAAGTTAAATAATAAAATAAAAATTAAAATTAAAAAAATAAATAAAATAGCATATATATTACATATACTACTAACCCAAGGGACTGGTCTCTCTTGTAGTATCAGTTGCATGTCCATCTTCTCCACTTCAGTTTCCACTAGGCAGCCTTGGAGCACGTCAGCTTGTACAATGAGGACGTTGGTGTGCTCAGCTCTGAATTTAAGACGCAAGGCCAAGTGCCCATAAGCAGTAGATACAACTGTTGTATCAGGAATGGCTATAATGAAAGAGAATAAGTTTAAATAATACGTGTATGTACAGAGTATTTTTTGTTACAAATTACAAGAAGAGAAGTCTCAATTTTATAATTTTTTTTGATACGTATACATTATGTTGTGTAGCAAGTTTGAGCTGATTCCGATCAAAATTGAGTTTTTTAAATAAATTTTAAAAGTTGATTAAAAACACATAATTTGGTCAGACAATTGATCAAAATGGTCCAAAAATATATATCTAATGTCCGACTGTTAGTTTCGGCTTTGCAATTGTTGATATTTGGGTATTATGCTTTATCCTTCACTCTCTCTCTCTCTCATTCTTACTGTGTGCTTCTTTCCAGAGCTTGCTTCTCTTATCTTTCTGCTGTGGTAAGAGTGTCAGATCAATTGGATCATCTAATGACAAGTCTTCCGCCAAGTTACTGGATATTTCTGGTCTCTGCCACTGGCTCTCAGCCCCAACTGGTTTGTGCTTGTGAACACCTTTAAACAATAGCGATACAACAATAAAATATACATTAAATATAATAAATATACATATACATGTTATATTTTAGACGTGCATGTAAATTTAGTTAATGCATGTAAAAATACACATAGGAATTGAATGAGTTGACTATACAGTATATTATATTCTACATACTCTTTGCAGTAGCATTGAAAAGAGACTGCACAGTGTCTTTTAGTGATCCTCTCTCGGCTTGTAAGTGCTCTTTTAGAGCAGCCACAAAGATACTGTTGTCCTTTCCAACCAGACCAAGCTGATCCTGACTCTCAAGACTGTCTCCACTTCCAGCAGCTACTTCATAGGCTTTCTCTGCAGGCGAGCTAACAAAATAATACGCAAATAAAGGTAATATGTATGTACTTATACATATATATTTAAAAATTAATACTGACATTAAAAATATAGTTTAAACAGGATTTGTGGCTCTGGAATTGTAGATTGTATGATGGGAAAATTGAAAAATGAATAATTTTCATATTCAGGCACATTGTAGAAAGAAAGTGAAATAGATAAAAACCACCTACCATGAGAATCCAAAGATGTGGAAACCAGGATAACTTCTTGCAGGATAAGGATTCTCATATACTTCAGACATATCTGTAATAGGACTGTGTACATGTATGTGTGTGAGAAAACAGATATGAGGTCAATGACAAATTGTTTTAAAAGTCACTTAAATAAGCTTATTTTCATCAGAATTTATTTACTCTACATAAACTTAATGTAAACTTTCTATACAAACATAAGTACATGTATATGCATTAGAAAAAAATATTAAAATGGAGAATTCTTTCCTTTTCCCTTTTGGCAAAATTTGGTCCTAGACCATGCATAGACCATATGTCACGAAATCCGTGACAAGCAAAAACCCATTAGTTCCACTGTCACGAAATCCGTGACAAGAAAAACCCATTAGTTCCACTGTCACGAAATCCATGACAAGCAAAAACCCATTAGTTCCATTGTCACGAAATCCGTGACAAGCAAAAACCCATTAGTTCCATTGTCACGAAATCCGTGACAAGCAAAAACCCATTAGTTCCATTGTCACGAAATCCGTGACAAGCAAAAAAACCATTAGTCCATTGTCATGATTTTACAGGGACTTTGGCCCGATTTTGGAGCAATTTAAAAAAATCATAAAAAATCCATTTTTGATTGGAATCAACTCAAACTTTCTACACAACATAAGTGCATGTATACGTATCAGAAAAAATTATAAAAATGAAGAATTCTCTCCTAGTCATTTTTGGTGAAATCTGGCCAACCCCCCTGTACTATAGTACAGGGACTTTGGCCCAATTTTGGAGCAATTTTTAAAAAATCATAAAAAATTCATTTTTGATCGGAATCAACTCAAATTTTCTACACAACATAAATACATGTATACGTATCAGAAAAAATTATAAAAATGAAGAATTCTCTCCTAGTCATTTTTGGTGAAATTCGACCAAAAAATTTAATTTTGATTGGAATCAGCTCAAACTTTATACATAACATGAAAGCATGCATGAGTAATTAAGTAACAGAAAATATAAATTCCCTAGTGAAACGTGGGGACAAATTTGATTTATTCCATTATTACTGTAGTATTATCACATGTCTAATAAACACAACACAAAAACTATAACAGGATGACACTAGTATACTATTCTACATAATAATACTTGTAACTATGTCCACTTTCTAAGAATAATAGTACATTGTGTACATTGTACAAGCAAATACACATGTGTATGTAACCATGCGTGAATTATTATTAAATAAGAAACTCACATTTGTGGTGCAGCCACACGACACATGTCGAGGAGAACAACACTCAGTTTAGCTCCTTTCTCTTGCATCATTCTTAGGACCATCTGAGCACACACGCAATATTTAGGATTCTTCTCTTTCGTGCAATCAACGGCCATCATGTAATTCATGTTATTGAGCTCAAACCCGTGACCGGCAAAGAAGAACAGAGCGTATACGTTAGGTCCTATTAGTGTAGTAAAGTATTTCACGGCGTCTTCCATTTCTTTCTTTGTTAGGTTGACAAGACTAACGACTTTAAAGTCAGCACTGCGTAGTATCCCAGCCAAGTCTTGAGTGTCGTTCTCTGGCGTATTGAGCTTCAGTGTCTTGACCCTGTAGTCCTTGTTACCAATGAGTAATGCGACCTTATCTGAGCAGGGTCTATCAATGATGCTATAATCTAGAAATAAAATATATAGTAATGTGTATATGGATATACAGTGCTTTGTAGGTGTACTAGTACATACACACATATAGTAAGATTCATGTACAATGAACTTGTAGGCACACAACTATACATGATTTGATACTGCATGTATCTTACATAAAATATACATATAAACATACACATCACGACATGTATTTGTATGATAACTTTATGTAAGATAGGTGCAGTATGAAATCAAATAGACATTAATGTACTTGCATGTATCAACTAAGGGACATCCCATTATCACTTAATTGTACCTCAGTGGCACTCAAAACTACCTTACAGGGTCTGTTATTATAATAATCAAAAGCTCAGATTTCCCCAATTAAGAGCTACATGATCCAATAAACACTAGACATGAGTAATGGGGTAATCCCTTAAACAACCATATGTAAACACCAAGTCATGAATGCAATTGAAAGCACTCGCTATAGTGATGAGGGCATGTGTGTGTTAAAAAATGTGGAATAAAATGCATGTAATGTAATGTACACTGTACATTATGTGCTGTAGTATTGTGTACTGTACTACCTTGTCCCATTGGCCCACAGTCCATTCCCTGTCCCTGTGGCTCCAAAGAGCTGGCTGGATTAATGGACGGATCTCCACGACCTTCTCCAGGTACTAAAAAAAGAAACGTTAACATTTCCATACAAAATACTATATTATTGTAAGAGGAGGTTATGGCATACCACTGTGATCAGGTCTTACTCCATGTAAGGTGGGAGGTCCGGGATTACTCATTGCTATCATCATATAAAAACAACAAATATCAAGTTTTCAATATTTATATGTGTACGCCATGTACATATAAACACTGATTAAATTAGGAGTAATTAAAAAATAATTATTCAAACAAATTATAATTAATTGATTTCACTTATTTGTAAGCCTTAGTATATATAGTGCAGTTTGTTGTGGCCAATAGTCAAAATATACACATTGCATGTACAATTATACATGTACATGTATATAGCCTTTCTACAACTCATAGCTATCAGTAATTATAATTGCTTACGAAAAGAGTGTGGAATACGTTCAGGTATTCCGTTACTAGGCGACATCATCGGAGACACGGCCCCACCCATTATGTGAGGGTTATTAATGATCTGATGATCGTAAGGGACTGGATCCTGTAACAGACGCTGTCCTTGTCCTGGTTGGAGAGAAAAGGGACCAGGAGGACCAGGGAATGGTGGACCGTGTGGTAAATCCCGATGACCTCCGTCTCTTCGCATATCTGCTATAAGACTAATGTTACTAATAGTTTTGAAATTGAAATTATTATGATGTTTACTTAAGCTTCCCCCCAATACATGTACATTCCTATAGCATTATACTGTATATTTAGCATACAAATAAAACAAAGTAGAATAGAGTGAGGAGAAAAAGAGAAAGATAGAAAGAAGAATTTTTTGTGTTGAGGGAGGAAGAGAGGTTGGGGTACCTTGATGAGGAGGAGGAGGAGGCATCTGTTGCGGTGTTGGTTGATGATATTGTGGGGAATGAATAAAGGGAGCATTCATATTGACTATAATAAAAACAACATTAAATACATGCAACTATCAATATAATATGCTCCTTAAACAGTTTGTTAAAACATTCAATGAACAAAATGATATTATACATGTACATGTACACATCATTAAGAAATTAATGAAATTATACTAGTTCACAGTTAATGCAACTATATAGTATGTGCTAGTCACTAACCAACAATCTCAGCTCCTTTGGTAAGTGCACTAGATCCATTACTAGTCTTCACACAGCATACATACACTCCTTGATCAGCCATCTGTACTTCATTGATGACCAGGTCTTGTTTAGTCCCGTATATCAATGCCTCTCCGTTACGAAACCACTGGTACGTCAACGGGCCGACACCTTGGGCCTGACAGGTTAGGAATAACTTGTTTCCAACTTCAAGGACTTGAGCTACTGGATGTTCCACAATCTTTGGAGTATCTATTAATAGTACATTAGATGTATAATATTATAACAAGAATATTAGGGAGGAAGCTGATAAATTAATGCTTGTTATAAAATAGCTATGTACATGTACATGTATATAAAAATACATGAACAAACAAAATACCCTAATAATAACCTAATAATTTACTATTGAAACTAAGTTGCCATGTAAGTAAGTAAGCATGCATTGAATTTGTAGCAACTTTATAATAAGGATGTACATAAAAAGGAAATGAATATTTATTAGTTACAACAAAATAAACAACACTATATGTACAAGTATATGTAACAGTAATATATAATACCTGGATTCATTGCTCCAGAGGGGACTGGCCCTACAGGAAAGGATAATGTCACTCAACTCACAACAATAATCTAACCTTTCTTTGTGATGGGGCTTTGTACCTGTACTTCTACCCATTGGCTAAAGACAAAGTTGGCTTCGTTCTCAGCTCTGCAAGTGTACACTCCACCATGTTCAAGTGTGATCTATGATAGTTTAGTAAAAGAAAGCATTACTCTTTTCATGTGAGAAAAGCAAAAACAATTAAAATTCAAATAGAAGCCACAATGCCTTTAAATACAAAAAGTATATACTTATATTAAAATCAATAATCAGTAACCATCCATTAACTAATAACTATGATAGACATGTGGTGCTGTATTACAGGTATATTCATGTACAACAAACACGTCACGGATATACAAAAGCTTACATTCTCTATCACTAGTTTAGAGACCCTTTGATCAGTGAGAGGTTTCTGACCTTTAAACCACAGATACTTAGGACGAGGGATGCCCTCAGCTTCACAGGTAAGCTCCAGTCTCTGTCCCACCATTACGGGAGTTGAGGTAGGTTGCTTTACAATACGCACATCCTCTAAATAATAACATAAGATGATATTTACATTGTTACTGACTATTATGTGGGCATTAATGCGAATAATACCAATAAAATAATTCAGAGGTATTTCCTTCAATGTACTATGTTCATTTCAAAGTAGGTAATAGTTAAATGCTTTCAATTATTATTCATAAAATTAATAAGATTATTGGTAATACATTGGTGTTAAGTAGTGTACTCAAATATTATAGCTATAATGGCCAATTATTTAATATAATTTTATTATAGTTTATAATGGCTGAAACTCCCTGAATTATGAGTACAGTAGTATAAAGGAAACCTTTCACCATACATACGTGTACATGCTGACTAATAAAATCCTATCAAACTCATTGCTTATAATTATATCAATCAAATGCTCATTACAATACAGCTTACACATTTACCTTTATGTCCTAGTGTTGCTAATGCATCATAAAGGTGTATTCTCTTTAACATTGTTATCAATTGGTCGTACGTCACGCCTCTGTTACTCATGTCAAGTAGCAGCGAGTATCCCGGGCTACCATTAGGCTTGTTAGCACTCAGACCAAAGTTCTCTATCATGATTGAGGTATAGTCCATCTCTTTGGCTAGTTCACGCCAATACGCCGTCTTTCCATCTCTAAGCTGGTCCAGTCGGTCAGATAGGTCCTTCAGCGATTTATAAGGAAGTTCACTGAGGCTTTTGGTCTCTACTGCGTTCCTTCCTCCGAGTTTAGAGCTCATCGTGTCTCTGTGAGTTGATCTGAGACTGTGGGAACTAGGAAATGCTTAAAAGATGAAGAAGAGTGGAGAAGAGAAGTCCCTCATTACATCATGACCACGCCTGGTGGTAGGTGTAGCTAGAACCAGCCACACCTATGATGGAGTTTGCATGCAGCATGCTGTCTGCAGACAAATTTCAACTCAAAAGTTTGAAGGTAATTTGATTATTCTTATGTCCACTAATGGCAATCATCAATTACTGCTCAGTTCTTAAAATATGAAGTGTCTATGCAGCTAAACTAGGCTGGTTTATTTAGACTAATACCACACCTCACCATCTAATAATTTTTAATAATAAACTCATTTAAACAAAATTCTAAACAGTATCTATACTATACTACAACTAGTTGTGCTAAAACTGTACTGAAATGTTTTAGTTTAGATGCATTCTTTTTGCTAGCTAGTCTATATTTCTGGATTACGAACATCGTATCTTGCAGAATGTATTTTTTGCCGGAGAAAGGCTTTGAAAGAAATCAGCGTATTAGTAATCTCAGGCCTGAAGTATGACTGAATGAGGGGAGTGGCAATATGAGTCATCTGAAAAGTGACTTCTGTTGTAGCAAAAACTTCAATTGGTACACCATAGAAACTTCTAATTATTATAGCAATAGTAAATGGAGCAAAGCCTATGAAATATGCGAGTAACATTGATCCAAATATCCCAAATAGCCTCTTCTTTTTCGAAGCGTAAACACTCTCTCCTGCTACTTCAGAGAGATTATGTATGAACCTGTACGTGAAGCAGAGCGTCCAAACTGATGTTATGAATATGAAGACATAAATGAGTATGTATGATGCAAGATCAACTAAAAAGTAATAGCTCGAGACTTGCCTTCTAGGAATGCATGGCCTGTAAGTGAAGATGTAGCTGAAATCATTATCATCTACAAACAATGGAAGCACATTAAGTATTATTGCTACTATCCAGAGCACAGTGGTTAGGGTGAGTGTCACCCACCATCTCATGTACTTCTTATGATGATGGGGTTTGTAAAGAAAGAGGAACCGATCAAATGATACTTCTGCAATCATAATTTGTATGAGAAGTTTCATGGTCCACTCAACAAAGTTTAGAAACAGACACATTTGTCTCTTTTGCATGTCGTCAGACCCAAAGATCCACTCCTCTGCTCCTATTGCTATGACAAACAATGGTAGGAACATGATGATCATTATCAAATGGGCCAGTATGATTGAAGTGAAGATTATTGTTGATGATTGTTTCCACGACTTCTTTCGATAAATAGTAATGCCCAATACAATGATATTGGCTATAAAACCAATCAATCCTTCAATGGCAAGGACTGTTGCCACAGCTGGTCCATTAATAGTGCCCATAGCAATGAAACTATCATTGAATGACATGGTTGTTCTGTGACTAGTGTGAGAAATAGCTGCACTTTTATTGCTTATATATATACAATAGCACATAATTACATTTCCTGTCTATTATACTTCATTGTGTAGGCATGGATTGATAGGCATCAACTACTAAAAGAATATTTTAATTTGTGAAGGAAAGGAGCTACAAAAGGTATTTTCAATGTACATTGTACATGTAAACTGAAAATTAATATGATCCTCATTTTAGAGCATTATAATACAAAATAAATATTTTTGTATGTACATGCATATTCATTGTTCTATGTGTCACATACCTTTTTCACATTGAAGCTCTACATGTAAAGCCTTTTCTGTAAAAGGCTTGTTTGTTACATTAGTAAAAAAACAACTCAGTAATATGATATTAGACTATTTTTCTGTTTTAAAAATTTAGTCACATACCTTTTTATCATTTGATACGTTATTAAGTTTGTTTGTTCTACTGTGACTGTGACTTTGTTTTACAGAAACTTTCGTTAACTATTCTTTGCTTGTAAAACACTGCCTATACTTGTAGATTATTAGTCATATTAAGTCATTCCAATTAGATTCTTTGATCCCATTACCTGTCAGCATGAGGCCCTCCTGTGAATAAAATCCTGTGAAATAGGAAACTGCACTGTATGAATTTGATTTGAGTGTGACTTTATTTAATAGTATTATCATTTTAAAACAAGCATAGCCACAATGCTATAATTATGTATATTAATGCTATTGATGCTACCAAGAGTACATAAGACCTTTAAGGTATTATGTATACTCTAATACTCTAATGTGCATAGGCTTAAGTATGTATACATTAAGCAGTGCTGTCACAATTATAAATAATGCTGAAACTTATTAATTCTATTTTATTATAGGACATGCAAATTCAAAAAGATGAGAAGCTAAGTTTAAAAACAACCTGTTTAGTTGGTGTACCACTGACTCTTGCTATGACTCATCATACATAAGAGTGGTTAGTGATCTTAATGTATGTATGAGGATTAATGACTCGTAACAGTGGATAATGAGAATCATTGTTATTTTTTGATTTTTGTAATTTTGGTTATCGCAAACACTAAAATTATAACGGATGAATTATGCCTTGCAATAATTGATGTTAAACTTAGTTTTAAAATTATTGTTAAACAATTATAATAATAAGCAAAAAATGTTATGCATGTACATAAATCTAGTAATTGAATGTGCTATGTGCAAATTTATAAGAAGCAATAGTATTGTATCTATATAAACAGCAACAGATTAAAATAAAAATAGCAAATAAACTAAAGAGAAAAAGGAGGAATATATAATTACAAAAAGGAAATTTAGGTAATGTCATGATACATAGAAATTATTTAAAAGAAAATAAAGCAAATAGAGGAGTGTAAGAGTGAAAACTATTATAAAAAATTAAATAGCTGTTTTTCAATGACATTATGAATATGGCAGCTGAAGTGATGATGCTCTGTAGTAAGGTCAAACTAGAATCTAGTAGTGGAATTAGTGTGTATTCCTCTCAAATGGTTATTGCAAAACTACCCTTCCACTGCCTTGCTTTGTCTTGCCTCATTCTTCTTTTGTTTGCTTGAAACCGCCTGAACTTTTCCTTGCCTCCATTACTATATCTATTATTATGTCACTATGAACTTTTTGAAGATACCTAACCATTGATGAATCAGGCTTAACTGCTTGAGCTACTTTGATATCGTGTGGACGAGGTTTTAAATTATGCCTTTCAACAAGAAATCGAACAAGTTCCAAGTTAGAACTCTTACTAGCAAAGTAAAGAAGGGTTTTGAAGTCATTGGTTTCAGCATGTGCATTACATTTAAGTATGTCTAAGAAGTAATAAACTAACTCCATACTACCAGCTTCACATGCAGCATGAACTGAAGTGTATCCATTATTATCAGGATCATCAGGACTACATGATGGAATAGTATCTACAAGAAAACGTACAATAGGAATATTATTTGCTCTGCAAGCATAATGAAGAGGAGAGCGACCAGGCTTGTCTTTAGGTATTGGATTAGTAACATGATGTTTTAAGTACTGGTACATCTCTATATTTCTCATATCCATTCCAAACTGTAATATACCAACTCCTTTTCTCTCTGCCAATAAGTGTAAGCATGTGATGCCATCTTTATCTTGTAATTTGGGATTTAGCCTATATCCCTCAACTAACTCTTTTACTATTTCAATATCCCATCCCTCACATGCTGTATAAAGTAAACTACGCCCTCTATTATCCATTACATTAACACCTTGAGGATAAATACTGGCTAAATAACGAAACACATCAATGTGTCCTATACTGCAAGCTGTATGGAATACAGTGGATTCTTCATTATCAGTAGCTGTAAGGAGATCATGATGAGTAGAACTACCAATGACTGATTCAAGTAAAGCTTCAGCGGTATCCTTATGACCAGAGGCAACTGCTAAGTGTAATGGTGTCTGTCCTTCCTTGTTAGCTAATAACAGACAGCTAGCAGAAAAACTGGCTCTCGATAAAATTTTTACCATATGCTGTTGTCTCATTCTACAAGCTAAGTGGAGTGGTGAATTACCTTCAATGTTTTGTGCATTAACATGTACATTATCATAATGTAAACCTTGTGGACTGTCCAATAAATGCTTTGTTTTGCATATCCAGGCTACACTAACAGAGGGAATTGTTGTCATGAGTAAGTATTCTATTATTTCTAATTTGTCAGCCAATACAGCAATGTGTAGTGGTGTATGCTCCTGATGATCAGTTGCATTAGGATTACAATAATTATTATCAATGAGATACTTCAATATATTCAAGTGACCCCTTTCTACTGATATGTGAACTGCTCCAAACCCTTCATCATCAGTAGCTGATAGATTACACTTCTTACTAATAAGATATTTAATAACTTCTAACTGATTGAAGTACACTGCAGTAAGGAATGGAGTATGGTCATGTCTAGGCCTGCAAAGTAGTTCAAGTGATGATGGTATCTGTTCTATAATGTACTCAACCAGGTTCAATCTTCCTTCTATGCATGCTAAATGAATAGGAGCTAATTCATTGTCATCCATAGCACATAGATCTAACTGATGATTCTCTACCAGATGTTTGAGTATAGGAAGAGAGTCACTGTACTCACAGGTAATGTGAAGAACTGTTGATTCATTAGAAGTCTTAGCTGCTACATTACACTGAGGAAGACTAGTGAGATAAAGTACAACAGGAACATGGCCTCCTTCACATGCTTTATGAAGAACTGTACTACCAGTATTAGTAGTAGTGGCATTAACATCACACTGATACTTGTTGATCAGTTCCTGTAGACAATGTAGCTTACCTTTATAAGCAGCTGAATGAGCTAGTGTGTACTTGTTATTGCTAGTGTAATTAGTAATATCCACACTATACTCCTGACTGTACCATTCCAGTATATGAGTATGATCAGTCTGTGCTGCTGCATGTAATACTGAGAAACCAGTGTTATTAATATTGATAGGCTCAAGCTTGTATTGTTGTATTAGTAATCGTACTAGATCAAGATTACCTGAGGAACAGGCAAATGTGACACATGAACTGTTACTTGTATCCTTAGCATTGACATCACACTTCATGTCATTTATTAGAAATGTGACCAACTGAATACTACCACTCCCACAGGCTAAATGCAATGGTATCCTTCCCTCATTGTCAGTAGAGTGTAATAAACTAATGTATTGAGGATACTGACTGGTGATATGCTTAATAAAATGAGTGTGACCTTTTAATGATGAATAATGATTAACATTCCAACCTTTGTTATCTGTTAGGCTCAGGCTACACTTGTAATCCTTTATGTATAATTCCAGTAATAAAATATCACCAGATTGAGCAGCATAATGAATTGGTAGCATACCATTACTGTCAGCTTGATGAGGATCTAACTGATAGGTAGTTATTAATTCTTTAACAAGAGATAAGTTAAGAGACACTGAGGCATAATGTAAAGCAGTGAGGCCATTCTTATCAACTGCAGTAGGAGACAAACCTTGTTCAGTAATAAGATACTGAACTAAATCAAAGCTACCACTCCATGCAGCATGATGTACTAATGTGTGTCCTTCATTATCTGTTCTATTAATATCACAATGCTGTACCTCAATGAAATATTGAGTGATATCAATATGACCATGACGACAAGAATAATGAAGGCATGTCATACCATCATTATTAGTGATATAAGGATCACTGTTATGATTATCAATAAGATATTTAACAGAATTAATACTACCTGACCAGCAGGAGTAGACTAATGGTGTATGACCATAAGTATCAGTATCATTAGCATTGAGATTATACTGAGATATGATATAACTTAATACACTAGTAGAACCTGACAAGGCAGCATAATATACTAAAGACGTACCATCATTATCTAATGTACAATTGATATTATATTTTTTTAATGCTTTCACTAGTAATGTACTGCCGCTGACTGATGCTAAATGAAGCAATGACTGACCATCATTTGTAGTGGCATTGATGTCAAAGTTAGGGCAAAGGCTAGCTTTCTTAAGAAGTGAAGAAAATATTTTAACTCTTTCATTCCGTTTGATAAAATCAATATTTTTCTTTATTCTAGTTCTATTAATAATATCAATAACTGATGCATCACTTTGTGCAATAAACTTACTATACACAATACCAGCTGGAATATGTGTAGCTGTATCAGTTGCATAATGTAAACATGATTTACCATTATTATCATTAACTAATATTGCTTCATTACCTTGGATACTAACAATATACTCAACAACTGATGATGAAGCATACCATGAAGCAATATGAAGTGGAGTCCTATTTTGGTGATCTTTGACATCAATGGATAATTGATATTGATTTAAAAGATATTTTAAAAGATCAACGTTATTACTCATAGATGAGTAATGCAATATGCCAGATCCAGATAAATCAGAGGAATCTGGTAAAAAGAGGTTTAATGATTCAAGCTTGTGGACTAATGCTAATTCTCCACTTTGACAAGCTAGCAATGATAGAGAGGCACATTCGCAATTGATCTGAAAAGTATTACAATTTTTCTCAATAAAGAATTCCACTAGGTCAGAATGGCCCCCCATTGCTGAGTACAGTAATGCTGTGTTATTGCTATTGTCTGGTTGATCAGGAGGAACGTCACACGTGTCTACTAGATATTGTACTATAGATAAGTGGCCTTTATAAGATGCCATATGTATACTAGATACACTATTATCATCACCTTCATTAGGATCAATATCATATTGATGAATGAGTAGTTGAAGGATCTCAATGTGTCCACCATATGATGCAGAATGTAACGGAGTCCAACCATGAAGACCACAATGATATTTGCTGTAACCAAACTTGTTAAGAAGCCATTGTACTTCATCTTTTAATCCTCTCCAAGCTGCTTCATGCAACGGTGTGCTGGTATTCTCATACCATAATGGATCACATTTATCTAACAGGAATGATCAATTATATATGAATGAAGGAGTGAATGATCAAATGACATAAACAAATTACAAATTGTACATACCAATATCTAAAGATGACTGTTGCAACTCTTGTGATGCCGAGAACTATAGATCAAAAGTAAATTCATTTAATATCAAAAAAAAATTACAAACCTTTCTTAGATCATATTTATAATCACCACATGTTAGTTCTATGATACCAATACTAGCTAACTGTTGCTGTATCTCAGTAGATAGAGGAAACAATGCAGAGTATAAGTAATCAGGAATATTATGTAGCAGCTGCAGAGATCCAATACAAACGAAACTAAAGTATAGATTAGCATTAGGAATATTTAGTTCTTTCGGTATTGCTCTACGAAAGAAGAAGAGGTCAGCTGGTGTATAGTCATCACGATCAACTTTAGCAATCATTACTTGTGTACCAGGAGGAACATCTGTTATACCAAATTCCAAAGCATCAGCATCAGTCAATAAACTACCACTGTTGAGAAAATAATCCTTCAATTTCTCCCTGTAGCCTGACCAAATTCTCTTTAATGAACGATTGCTAGGCTGGAATACAGTAACAAGTTTAACTATCAGTTCGTAGTTAAACCATGATATGTACTTTTGTTGCAAAACTTTAAAAAGATCTTTCATTGTTTGAATGTTTTGAAACTCTTCTGTAATTTCTTGCATTGTGTCCGAATTATTTTTGTTAGGACCAAGTAAAGCAGGGACATGTGTCTCAAGATAATCAATGATATCTGGAAGGAGCTCAGGTTTAAATGTGTCTCGTGTTTCTTTAAGAATATCATAAAACTCCAATTGTAGCTCATATATCCTGTCCAGTACTTCAACATCTCTTTTTGAATCACCATAAATTGAAGTGTCTAAAGTAAAGACAATGTTAATTTTGTGTACATACCTACCAATTATGTAGCAAGGATTTAAATTGAAGTGAATTGTAAATTAATGCTTAAGAAAAACACTAAATTGATGAACCAAATCCTTATCATAAAAATCAGCACCATAGGATCATAGCTACTATGCCTGCTCATTCTTCACTTAATAAATGCAGTTTGAATTATTGCTCCTTGTACAATATGAAATTTAAAAATTCATTGCTCAAAAAATGTATGACCTGAAAGGGTCACCCTCTTGAAAGTTGAAATTCATTAACTAGATCTATGCAAGTGGTCTTATTATGGAATGTGGCTAGGGTACAATGAATAATAATTAGTTATCTGTCACACTTAAATTAATTATGAAATTTACTTGTCGAGCTTTCATCTCCAGTCATAGCTGAGAGGGGATGCTCATGAGCTATGTCTTCAGCTAGTGCTGTGTTACCACATCCCTTTTTTACAGACACATACACCATTCTCCAACAAGGGGCACCATTAAATTTATAATTGTAATCTTTCTCTAACCAGTGCTCCAAAACTTTGCGTAGGCAAGACTCAGAACTATTACCACAATCAGCTTGAATGACATTAATAGTGTGTGGTCTAATGTAGAGTGAGTTAGCAAAATCCTTCCAGTGTGCAGCAATGGGTTTAACTTTATTATATACCACATTAAGATCATTGATCCCTAGAAGAGCACAAATCATTATGCGTTGCAATAGTTATAAATGACAAACCAACCTAGGATTTTATTGCAAACAGTTTCAAAAGTCTGAGGAGGAGAAGGAGAACGAGAGTAACTTAGCCCCATCCTTTTTGCATCTAGCTGCAGTGCAGTGCGTCCTTTTCGAGAAGGTTACACCCACGTATTTGGGTGGAGCTGCATGAAGTAAAAAAATCAAAATTAAAACATGCAAATTTAGCTTTATACTAATGCATAGATCTATAGTAGCATCTATTTATGGTAGCATAATGGTCAATCTTTTTCTGCCCATGGGCACCAGTAGCTTTCTTTCTCTTGCATAAGTTTACAAGCGTTGGGATCATTTGGAACAGCTTTACTTGAATCATAGCTTTGATTCTGAAGCTCTTTGGCTCCTGTCCATACTTATTGTAACAGGAAAGCAACTCATTGAGTAGCTCTGGTTGCTCTTTAGCAAGATTATGCCTTTCACTAGGATCCTGTACTATATCAAAGACACAATAAGGATCACAGTCATTGTTTTCAGGCCCTTTAGAGCAAGGGTAATCTAACGGGCTCCACATCACAGTATCACAGTGACCCTCTTTTCCTTGTGAACCAAAAAAATCTACATACGTCCCATAGTAAATTACTATGTCTAGTATCTAATACTTATGTGCATGGGCTTACATTAGATGGTGTAATAAGAATTAGAAATAATGCTAAAACGCATAAATTTTATTTCATTATAGGACGTGAAAATTCAAAAACGATACACCTACGGTGCATGGCCTCGCCCCTATAGCTGCTATGGTGCATGCCTGCACTGCAATAGCTGTTTGATTATCAGCATGAAGAGAGTCTGCTCAACACTAGCTTCCTGCAGTTGCACTTGCTCTTGAATACCTGCAGAAGTAGCAGCACTGCAGCACATACATGCAAGCAGCTCCAGCCCCTCCCATGCATGTAGATTGAAAGGTGTGGCATTCCATCATACTGGCATGATTGGCAGCAAGAAGACCATGTGAGAAAGAAGCTTCACTTTCTCTTTACTAATCAGCAATATATGATAAACTTGCTGACAAAAAAAGTTGCTGCCTTTGTATATTTGAGATAGTATAGGTACTTTAGTACCTATAACCCAGCAAGTTGTTGCTCTAGCGCTGCACAAACGAGTGACCTCAACAAATTCAAGTAAGTATAACTCTTCATCAAGTAAGATTTAGAGAAATCTGTTCATATTATTTGAAGGCCATGTTCTAATCTACTGAAAAATGCTACCAGCTATCTCTAAAGTGCCAACACAACGGAACTTGGCCCAACTGCTCGATTTTCTTACTTTGAAGCTTCTATACCTAGCACTTGTATTTGAGCAACACAAAACAGTTAAGAAAGACTTTTCCACGCCAAAAAGAAAGATCTAGGAGCTTGAAACATGCTGTGCTAAAGTTATTGTTTATTAAAAACAAATTTCAGTTGTACAGAATGAATGACAGACAGACAGACACAACAACTACCTATACCTCGCGTAGGCGAGGCCAACAAGAGATAGAGTGATCAAATTTAAAGGCAACCTGTTTCTTACCACTGACTATACTCATCATACAATATTTTTATGCAGACCCCTTAAATAAAAATCACTGACAAAAAGGTAATGTGGATAAAAAATTTTTACACAAATGAAAACTACTAAATTTCACAATAGAATTTTTTACACAAATGAAAACTACTAAGTTTCAAATGAAAACTACTAAGTTTCACTCAAAATAAAAATAGAAAATTAATTGACAGGAATTATAATTATTATGAAGTAACATAATTATGTCTGGGGGCCCTTGACATTAGTTTGCCGGGTAAAAACTGTTTGGTAGGTTTTGAGTGGAATCTGTTTTCTTGTCACTTCTATGTTGTATGGTCTATTAATGGATTAAAATTGTGATCATGCCACACATTTTATTTCTTACTCTATATCCATTCCTTTTAAAGTGTGTTCCTTTGATGCAAAATAGCTGTTAGTTTTTGCCTGTTTTCTCCACAATTTTGCATCAGAAGGATTAAGTGTACTTTCCAAAATTGGTGTAACAACTGACACTGTCTCTGTAACTGGGACTTTGTCATCTATATCTTGCAGCACTTCTTTTGTAGATATCATAAGTGTGTCTTCACTCTCATCTATAACTGTTCCTTTCTTTATACTAACTTTTTCTTTGGTTGTAACTAACTCTCTTTTTGTAGCTACCACTTCCTTTGTAACTGATACTTCTACTGGTTCTTTTTTAAAGCATTTTGGAGCTTTGTTGTAGAATACTTTTTTAATTCCTGATTGTACTATTACTTGTGCACACCCATGACAAGGGAATTTAGTAACATACAATGTGCAGCCTCTGAAGGATGGAGTACCCTTTGCTAGTATAGCCTTGTATTCAGCATGTGCCACTATGATAATGCAGTGTTAGGAATTTTGGATTCATTATTTTCATTTACTTACTAAATGCATCTCCATCATAGTATAGTTTTTTGTATTGTATATCACCAATAGCTCTTTTGTTCATTATTTCAGGATAGCCACTTTGACCAACTGAGAGAACTCTTTTATTATCATCCACTATACATGCTCCTTGCTATATACAATGGAATTTTATAGTTATAATGGACTATCATTATTTAGGGTATTTATTATATACTATACACTAATACTGTTCCTTTTTAATTATACAATCCTAGATGACTACATTAGTACGTTTGCACATTGTTATTAATATTAATTGAATAATCTGTCAAAATTAGGTTGCTCCCAATCATCTCTGGTAGAATCAATTTGACTAACTGCTTAATAATTTATTTGTAATTTTAAACATACTTTATACACTTTACAGAATTCGTTAGAATTTACCGTGAATTGTGGAAATTTTTCATGATGACCTTGTTTCATTGCTGACAATTTTGCTATTGCCATAAACAATTCATCATCACACAGTATTTCGTTAGTTATTTTTTGTAGTCTACCTGTCAACCATACCTATAGTGTGATGTCAGAATATTTAAGCATAAAAAAGACTCACTTTTTCACTTTCTCTTTCAATAAGAGGTTCTTTCTCCATTTTACAGGGTCTATAATGATTACTAATTATCATTTATTATAATTTATCCTTACATTAGAAGAATGTCTGATTGACGGAGTAACAGCTTTGCATCTCTGATATCACTTTCTTCTTCCCTTTTTGTGTTGTCATAGAATTCTTCATATTTTACAACCTGTGGTGGCTATAACAGTCGAACCGCACCCTACCAAAACCGGAAGAATTTTATTTGCAGAGGAAATGGGCGTTACCAAAGAAAATGTCTACCAAGATGAGTATACCTTCTCGTGGTGTAAAGGCTTCACAAAACTTATTTCAAGTTGATTTCTATGGTTATTTGACTACTTTAGCCATTGTTATGTATGTTGTGAGAAGGAATTAGTCTAATTTAAAGTATTTACGACTTCCTGTCTACATGAGCTAAAATGGAGGAATGGCACATTCAGAAAACCTGTCTCGTATTTCAAAGATGGTAAGTG